ACTGGCAACAAGAAAAACACTAGGCTTCAACACTAGGCAAGCTTTAAATGCCTGTTAGACTTATTTTTCCCCTTTAATTTTGTTTGATTGCTTACATCTGAGATTAAAATCTCCTAATTCGTGAAGAATTTTCAGGTGATCTCTGATCCACATTGTTGTAACAGTCTGGTCTATGAGTAGACCCTCGCAGTGTACACTTTTAGGAACTGATGTGGTCTCATTACCATGGTCTTTACTCCAGAGCAGAGGTGCAGATGTATCCAAAGAGTTTGTACAGGAAGAAAAACTCATGGATACTGAGTTCAGGTTTATCTTGCTGAGACATCAGCCAGAAGTAACTGAATTTTAACATAATGGCTCCAGAACATACATATATCAGTTTGGAGAGAGAAATTTTTCAGTTCAGATTTGTGAGGTTTTTTTTTTTGAATTCCCCAAGAACTCTTACCATCCCTTTCTGGCGGTGCACCACTGTTTTGAGGACTGATGGAACTTAATATCAGGCAGAATATATGGAGGGCATGTTGTTATACCACAAACTGTTGGGGAAATTCCTGGTGACCTTTTCTCTTTCTAATATGTCTTGGATCAGGGTTTTTCTCTGTGGAGTCATGAATATTTTCAGTATTTTCAGGAAATGCAAGGAGGTAGGGCTTCTGTTGCTCTTCTGTCTCATATGCAAAATTTTCAATATGTCTTCTCTTGTTCTGACTTAGGAGCACCTCAGAGACTCTGCCATGCTTTTGAATTTTGTCTTGACTTGGTTATTCTCTTCATTTGTAGGCAGTGTACTGTAATGATTCTTTGCCCCAGGGTTTTGCTTGTACTGAGTCACTGAAGCTGAATGGCCCTTTCTTAAGTGTATTTTCTGTGCAGACATAATTTGCTCACTTAAATTATTAGTGTGTTTATGCTACTTATGTTTGATCTTGATTATAAAAAAGTGCTTGTGGTGGGTCTGAGTTGTAGATAATGCCTGGCATTGATTAACCAGTTGAATTTAAAGAGTAATTTTAGACTGATCTGTTAAAGAGGTGTAAGAGGTGGTGTGGGTTGGAGTGGTCTAAATGAACACCTTCTTCCTGGGATTTGGTGTGCCAAGGGATGTGCAGAAGTTGGGCACCCTCAAGCTGTTTGGTTTAGCTATTGCCAACTTGGTTGCTGTTGTCTGTGCCCACATTTACACCATAAATGCAATTGATGAGGAGTGAGTGAGACAGAAGGTCTGAAGGAAAACACACTTTAATCGAGGCCCTGGGCAGCCTTAAGGGGCCTTGATGTTTGAAGTGTTTTGCAGGTTCTGCTGTGACCCCATGGTTTCATGGCCAGCAGCTTTGCTTGCTGCTGCAGGGAGGGCTGGGTGCTCCTGCCTTCTCCTGCTGCTGCCTCTGAAGCTCATGAGAACTTGCTGCTCTGCAGAAACCCTTTTTCTTCTGGCTGAGTTACTTCTGTGTCTGGCTAGTGACTCACACCCCTTGAAGGGGTCAGACAGCCTGCTGAGGGGAGGTGGGCAATATCTGGGAACAGGCGAGAGAGCAGTAACACTTCTGGGTGGAACCTTCTCCTCCATCACTGGTGTGAGCTCCAGGTAACTTCACCCCGAGTTGGAGCTGGGCCAGCCCAGCAGATGCTCACCTGGCCAGGGCTGGAGGTGCCTCACTGCCCTGTGTTCTGGCACTGCCAAAGGAAGCTCAGGTCACTGAAGTCCTGTATGAGAGTTTAATTTAACCCCAGACAGCTCTGCTGAGTTCCAGAAACAAAGGTGAGCCCATCTCCTCTGTGCAGTGATGCTGCCTCAGTCAGCCTAGCCTCTTGGCAGGGCTGGTACAGCAGGAAACAGGAGCAGCAAAAATGAGGGTGAGCCTTGGCAGGTGCAGATTTATGCCTCCTGGAACACATCTGATATTACAAAATGCTTGTGTGCAAGGCACATGTGATTTTAAGGTTTCAATTTGAGTTTGGATAGCATTCAATAATCTCATTTTATTCCCTCATTCAATATTCTCATTTTATTTAAAATCCAGCTTAATTAAAATGTACAGATTATTCCCACAATGAGTATTGTTTCTAAACTGTGTGTCTTTCAAATTCCCAATATAAACAATCTTGTAAATAGGTAATTAAAGCCATCTGCTTCTTAGTAGCCTAGTTACCTTTGCAGAATCATTTACATTTCTCTCCCCTTTAACACAGGGAATGAAACTGCCATAACTTCTTACCTCAGTGGATAAGCTACTACAAAATAATGGCTATAGCACACAGTTTTTCAAGAAAAGGCATTCTATTGAATTTCTCTTCCAAATAAACTGTTCTTCACAGCCACAAAAAATTGTGCTGTCAGATGATGGGCATACCCATAAACTGTAATCCAGCACAAGATACTTGAAATAATGTGGTTACTGCCTGTGATATTCTGTTCCTTCTTTCTCTATGAACATGGTGCTTTTTATCAAGTCATCTAAGGTAGGTTCATGATGTCCATGAATCTATTTTGAGCTAAAGATCTGACTCTAGTTTTAGGCCAGTTTCACGGAAGAGTAAACTCTGAAGTCAAACTTCAGAATCATTTTTGGAAGTGAATAAAAGTAGAGTTCTGTCTTGTGGTCTCCTCTTTGAGGTGAGAGGAAAAGCAGTTCTTGCAGCAGTCTTGCTGGGGATGTTGTAGCTGTAGAGTGAGGATTTGGGTGCACTGAGATCACTGAGAAGGGCCCAGACTGTAATGCCCAAGGTACCTGCTAGGACTCACAGCTTCTGATAGAGTTGCAAATTGCTTTTTCCCAGTAGTAGAGGAGGAAAAATGTTTTCTGAGTCTTCTCCAAGTTATTCCAAGCTCTTGGGAACTTCAGCACATTATTTTTGTGAGAGGAGAAACGCTCTTCACTTCTACTTCCTCCCTTTTTAAAAATAGCAAGTTCATTGCTGGTTGCTCACACTTGTAAGTACTGAACTGACATTGTAAAATCTGGGGCAAAATATTGCAATATTCCACCTGACTGGTATGTTTTAAAAGAAGAATCTGCCTCAAAGGGAGTAGAAGGCCTCTGCCATCCCAAATGGCAGATGCAAAACCTGGTACATAGCTCTCATTGCATTGGTGGCACTTTCTTTAAGAACCCTTTGCAACTTCCAAGCACTAAGTAAAGTTATTTGAGCTCTTCACCCCCTTGAATTCTTTTGCGCATCAAAGCAAGCAACACTGTTGCAAAATCTCCTATTTAAGAGTTTTCTCTGGATGTGGGAGAGAAAAAAACCAAGCCAAAAACCCCACAGAGAGTAGCCAGGTTCTGTCTGTGACCTTGCGTTTTCTTTAAAACTCAAGATGAAGATTGCTGGTGAAGGGAGCTGATTGTGCATAGATATAGCAAATAACTTACTGCCACTTTGAGTTTATTCAGTAGCTACTTAAGGCACCTAAAATGGTCTGTGCACACCTTTAGGAAAAGAATCTAGTAGTGCTGGTTATGGTTATTTTCTGAGGATGCTGACGTGACCCGGCAGGCTAGATATGTGCAGTCTTAGTCCCAAGTGATTAAAACATCCTCTTAAGTGAACAGAAATTGGAAAAGCAAGACTAATTATGGGATTGCTTATTTTATAGAAATAGCCTTTTAATCAGTTTATATGGTTGCATCACTGGGAACTGAGACACATGTAGAATATTATTGCATAACTGAACCATTAATCCAACATTGTACAATAAATGTCTTTTTTGGTTATGAACAGTTGAAGTTTGAATTATATTTTGTCTGCTCTGCAGGTAATAAAAGAGGGGCTTTTGAATTTGCATTTTAAGAGCTTGCTCATAATTTCTGAGTGTGGTGGTGTTTCTGTCCCACACACAGTTCTCTGTGAGAGCATTCTGTCTTGCAGGTACATGGCATTTGTTTTAAAGAAAGCTGATTTCAGCTCCAGTGGCTGTGGTTTAACTTAGGAATAGGTGCAGAGGGAAAAGCCCACCAAGCTGAAAAAATGGAAATACCTTTGACCTTAACCCATAGCAGAAGGAGTGACTAGTAGAGGGTGGTGTGTTGTCTCTCAGGAGAGCAGGCACATTGTGCCTTTGCATGTGCTGGAATTTCTGCTGGGGGTGGAGGGAGAGAGAGGGGCAGGGCCAGAGCGGGGAGCTGGCTCTGAGAAGGAGCCCCTCTGTGCAGGGATGCTCTCGGGGTCTGGGTGTCGGGATGACCCCAAGAGTGTAAAATTCCTTGTTTTCCAGCCCACACAGCCAAAGAAGGAGTCTGGAATGCATAGGGTCGGCTTCTCAAGGTTTTTTATTTTTCCTTATCTATAACATTCTTTCTCTGACCTGCTGAGCTCTGTCTAGCAGGTCGGCCATGGCATTCTGTGTGCTGCCTCGGGTGGTGTTTACATTTTATACTAAAAACGATGTATAATATATTTACAATATTGTGCCAATATCTGTCATGTATGTTAGACAGTGTGTCTCTACCTTAAACCAATAGAAAAGTGTAACCATCACACCAAGACATGGAGGACAAGAAGAAAGAGAAGAAGGCCAGGACATGCTCAAATCCCTCCATCTTGTCCCCTTGAACCCCATTCAAAAAAGCTCTAAAATTCTACTTTTTCACCCTGTGTTAATTCAACTATCACACTACTCAAACCCTTGTGGCTTGTTTTTCCTCATACAAAGTTGGCAGCTTTTTCCACAGGCTAAAATCAAAGCCACAGGAAGTTTTGACTTTGTGTCAAGGTCTCCAAGCCCCCTGCCAGGGTCTCAAGGCAGCCAGGGCAGCCAGAGGGATGTCCTGGGTTCTGACAGGGTGCTGCTAGGGACAGCCAGCAGCCACTGAAGTACAGGCAGGGCAAAATAATTCAGGGGTTTCTTCTCTCCCTGCAGCTTTTGGATCCATAGTCTAGAAATAAAATCTGCATTAAAAGATAAAATTCTTCTTGCTGTCAGTGCAGATCAAGTGTTTGCACTTGGGGAGTCCAGGGTGCTCTCCTAACAAAAGCCTTTCCTTCCTTCCTCCCAGTACCTGAAGGGGGCCAGCCAGGAGGCCACAGAGGGGCTCTTCATCAGAAACTGCAGTGACAGGACAAGGGCTTCCAACTGAAAGAGGAAAAATTTAGGTTAGACACACAGAAGCAATTCTTTACTGGCAGAGTGGGCAGGCCCTGGCATAGATTGCCCAGAGAAGCTGGGGCTGCCCTGTCCCTGGAAGTGCCCAAGGCCAGGCTGGATGGGTCTCTGAGCAACCTGGGGGTTGGAACTGGATCATCTTTAAGATCCCTTCCAACCCAAGCCATTCTGCAACTCTGTGGTTTTTGCTAGAGAAAGTGGACCTCTAGGAAAGAGCAGGTAGTTTCAGGGGAGGACAGATGATGTATGTGTATTCCAGGAAATGCTGCTCCTGATGAATAGGGAAGAATTAATGTGCATTCATTCATACATACATTTATATATTTTAATTTTTGTCAGGACTGGTAGCAGCTTCTTGTCATATTTGAAGCTGAAATACTACTGGAAATGCAACCAGGGATTTGGTTATGTCCTAGGGTGATGTTATGGTGTTTGTATCTCCAATCGTGTGTTGTTTTTGTTTGATATTATGTTCTGTGCTTTCAGAACGGATTCTGAAAGTGAAGGTTTGTTTTGCCTTATCAGCTAGTTCACCTCCCACCATGGTCTGCTGTCTAGAAGAGGCTAGTACGGGCTGGCTTGCTTTTGTTTGCTCGCTTGCTTGGCTGGCTTGCTTTTGCTTGCTTGCTTTGCTTGCTTCTGCTTTTGCCTTTGCTTCCTAGTTAGTTTAGCTAAGAAGTCCAATTCTTTCCCTGGACTGTTTCTTTTCCTTTCCTCTTCCTGAATACCATCCATGCTCTGGACTGGGATCTGGGAAACACCAAGGAACACCGAGAGCCTGCGCTTTGTGATCTGCAGCAGCCATCCCCAGTGCCGGAGAGCAATCCCCAGCACCCAGACCCAGGCGACCACTCCCAGGAAAGACTTTCTGGATTTGTTCGTCTCTTCAGAGTGGTGAAAGAGTTTTGTTGTCATCTGGTGTTCATTTTTTTAGTGCTGGGATGGGTTTTGTTTGTTAAATAAACAGGTTCTTTTCCACTTCCCTCAGAGAAAATTTTTTCCCGAACCAGGTGGGTGGGGAGGGGCTGTGAGGGTTTGTTTTCTGGGGGCTCCTTCCAGAGGGTTTTCCCAAAATTTGCCCTAAACTAGGACAGGTTACCTTAGGGATATTGGCTGAAGTTATGTCATTTTGGTTTTAGCCTTTTTTCTTTAATGTGTTCTCTGTATTCTTCACACATATATTTGTAGCTCTACAGCCTGTTGAATTAGTGGCTAATTGTCCATGCCCTTTCCCTAGGCATAAAGACAAAACAAATCCCAGAGCTCTAAGCCTCACGGGTACAAGGCCCCTGTGCTGTTTTGGTTCTCCCTGGCTGCCAGGGTTGGGAACAACCCTTTGAGATACATTCCCATGCACAAAGTACAGCCAGTACCAAGGGGGGCTCCAGAGAACGGGCTTGACTGGGGGGGAATTACATCACCACTCGTCCTGCTAACTGGTACTTTTTTGTAAATTATACTAATTTGCTAAATGCATAAACACTATATTCACCCTGTGTGGGTGAGCTTTTGTGGACATCTTTCCATAACTGCCCCAAAAGCCTTGGATGAAGATCCGCTTTTATATTACCTCCCATACTGAAATTATCTTGAGTTTGATTCCTGGGCTGGAAAAGGCAACAGAAGAAGTTAGTTAGTAAAACACTGTGAAGATGAAAATTCCTTTATAAATGCTATCTGTTTCCTCCCCAAGAGCATTGCTGAGATGGCTATCCAGGCCTTCAACTGCTATAAATTAGCACAGCTACATGCTTTCCAGTGAAGCTATTTTTAATTTGCATCTGCAGAAGATCTGGCTTCCCTGAGCCAATGATGCTACCACTTCCTTTGTATGATGCTTATTTAAAGATTCTGTTGTTTTTATAGCCTAGCCAAAAAATTTGTTTTCTTAATGATATCCACAAAAATACATGAGCCAAATTCTTTGTTACCTCATTGCAAATCACAGTCCTTGCATTGCTGTCAGTGAATTTTATCTGTTGTCCAGCTGTGTAGCTGAAAATAATTTGATCCTGTTTGTCTGTAGGGTTTCCAAGGTGAGCTTCTGCAAATATTTTTGCTTTCTATCCAGTGAGCATTTCCACATCAGTTTAGTAACCTTGACTACAATGGAGCTTTGCATGTTTGCACTCATTTGCACTAAATTTGTGCAAATGTTCTTGATACTGTTTTATAAAAATTATTAGGGTTTTTTTTTTAGCTAGAAGTGGGATAAATTGAGGTATTTTAAGTGGGAACTCTGGCTTCTTTGAGGGAATTGAGTGATTAAACTCACTGGTATAAATTGCATACTCTTCTGTAGGTAAGAGAAAAAGACACCTTTTCCAACAATATTCAACATAATTTTCCACCAAGGAGACTGTAGCAGTTTGCCAGAGTTGTCACATGCCTTTATTTCTTTGAATTTCTTCCTTGGAAGCTGCTGAAATCATTCATGCAACTGCTCCACTTGGGCATAATCCAGGAAGAGCTTTCTCCAGCTGCTTTAGTTTATTATGTATTGGCTCCCAGGATCTGAGATCACAAGTGGAGCAGAAAGGCTAAATGTTGGTTCCCACAGAGCAGCCAGCTCTCCAGGAGCCCCTCTGACCTGTCCCCAGGGCTCGTGTTCCCCACGGTACTCCCGCGACACGTGGGGTTTGGGCTGTTGGTGAGAACAGGCCAGTAAATGCCATGCTGCATTTACTGGACAAAGGAAAAACAACAGTAAAACCCATCCTCTTCTTCTGTATTTGTTGTATGGGGAGAAAAGCCCATTCCACACATCCTACCTCACAAGCCAGAAATGAAGTGCTAGAGCTAAAGTCTTGGCACTTGGGAAAACAGGAAGGAGAGAGCCTTAGGTCCAGTACTGTGGGATATAAATCTTTGATGCTGCAAGACTACCCTTGCTATTTCTTTTGGTCATATTTATATGCTTTGAATATTTTTCTCTTGAGCAAATTCAGGGCATTCAAGCTTATCAATGTGTTCTTATGGGAGATAAGTTCCTACCTTCATTTTGATAAGAAAAACAGTGTCTTATTCCCAAGGCAGAACTGTCAGGTAAAGAAACATGATTGAGGTAAATGAGATTTATGTAGGTTAGAGTGGGCTCCCTGTTGCTGTAGCTGTGGTAGGGTGGCAAAATGTCTCCAGCACTCTAATGGTAAAGTAGCAGGTGTTTACTGCCAGCTACAGCATCTTCCACCCTTCGGGATCACCACTCAGGTCTGTCTCAGCTCTGCAGCTGGGTATTGAGGTCAGTCTGGGTATTCTCTCTGCCTCCCTTTCCTCTCTGTTCTTCACCCTTGCCCTCCTCTGCAGTACCATGCAATCAGCTGGGTAAAAAGCTCATTCTGTGAGGATGTTTGTGCTTGTTCCTCATTGCTTCAGGAGCCCAAGCCTGAGGTAGTGCAGAGCAATGGAAGACTCAGGTTGGGATGGCCATGTTTCCAGGAGGGGAGGCACACCAGGTAAGGCTCCACAAGCCCATGTGTTGGTGGCTTGCAGAGCAGCAGCCCGTTGAGGCCCCTCCTCATCCACCTGCAATGTCACAGGGTTCTCAGCTGGGCAGGGGATGAGCTGGGGACAAATCCTAAGGACCTGAAGAGATACAGTGGGATGGAGATGCTAATGGCTTTCTGCTTCAGAAAGCTGCACCAAGGCACAAGCCCTGCTGACAGCTGGTCGCCCATCAAAGCAGAAACCTGGAGGAACGTGGGGGTCTCGGTGTCCCTTGTCCTCCCTGGCATCACAATGGAGTGGGCTTGACAGCTGGATGGATTTCTTGGCACTGCCCATATTTCTGTGTGTGAGAAACTGAAAACTCTTTTGTTTCAGATTTTGATTTAAAAAAAAAAAAAAAAAATCTGTCCACGCTGTGTTCTGATAGTGTTGCAGGATTTCCTCCAAGATGTGAACATTCAGGAATGGGAGATGTCATGATTACAGATTTTCAGGATTCCAGCCTAGCCCAGCTATGTGTTCAGGCATTCCTTTTGCAGAAATGAATAATCCCTGTTAATTAAGAGGATTCTTAAGTGCTTTCCTGAAATGTCTTGCAGGATCAAATACACTTTCTTCCCAGAGCTCTGTTTGGTTATTTTTTTCCATTTTAGTCTATCATTTATGATTTAAGAACAGTGCTTGAAAAACAGCTGCTGTGAAGACTTAAAGATCTCTATAATTCACATGTTCTAAACTCAGCAGTCCTAGGATACTTGTGTTCTTTTACAAAGCAGGGGGAGGAAGAGACATGCAAAATCTTTAAGATGCTATTTAAAAAGAAGACTTCAATGGAAGAGGAAAAGATTTATCCTTTCATAGCTCAAGAAAAGTATGCCAGAGTTATGCATATAATCAAGCATCTTCTCCACACTTTGAGAGTGCAGAATGTGATTTGCCTCTTTCAGTTGCATCTAAATATTTTATAACTTGAAAAGCTATAGTTGTGTTTTTAGATACAGCTTAGGAGAGCTAACCTTAATTAGTGTATACGCATTTAATGTGAGCTGTTGTGCTCTTTAGTTATAATAAAATAGTTTTTCTGACTATATGCAGGAGTATTTTGTATGGGATCTCTCTCTGGCTTAGTCTGACTCCTCACTATTGCAGTTCTGCTGCAAGGGAGAGCCCACAAACACATTCCATGATGTGTCCTGGTGTCCTGTATGCCACCTGAAGCAGCTTGGGAAGGACAGGGCAATTCTGGCTCAGATAAAGGGTGTGACTGGAGGAGGAAGAGGCTGCTTGGGTGAGTGTGGCCAGGAAGAACACTAGGGTTGAACAAGTTGATTTTTTTGGGGTTTTTTTTGTTTTTTTTTTTTTCTTCCCTAAACAGCAGAAAAATCCACTATAATACTAATCTTGACTGGTGAAGTCAATGGGAATTTTGCCTTTTTTTTTTTTTTTGAGGTCTAGTTTTTTCTCCTTTCTGTGTGCTTGTCAGACAATATTTTCTGTGAGACAAATATAGCTGCAGTTCCAAA